TCACGGGCCCGTACGGCCCGGAAGTGGATGGAAAGTTTGTGGAAATGCAGATCACGCGACTGAATGTTGGTCACCTGGCCTTGTGTTTGTTTGTTGCGAGTATGTGGATTTGTGACAGTATTTATACTGCAAAATTAACTGTATATAATGTTCAAAAGTTGTGAAAAAAACTAAAAAGATTTTGGCTTCGCTTGTAATGTTGCTGGGAAGCTGATTTTATTTGGCTAAATAAAATGTTCCTTTTTGCTAATTCTGCTGATCTTTTTCTTTCCACTAATCTGGTACTCTTTCATTGGACAAATTAACCACAGTTGTGTATGATGTCATTTAAATGATGTCAATGTGGTGGCTTGACCAACATTGTTTGACTCATGATGTTAACTGATTAGCTTTAAAGCGGTGGTGACTGCACTTGTATCGAACACACTGTCTGTCTACAATTCTGTAATTTGATGTCTGGATTCTCAGTTAATTCTGGATCTTAACTGTTTTCACAACCCAGAGGTTCATGAGTGCTATTTCAATCCTAAAAGCAGATGAACCCTGTTCAGGGACAGATAACTAGGATAGAAAGTACGAATGAATGTGAGACAGAAAGAGTCACATAAAAATTATGATTATGAGAGAGAATTGACAGAAATTTATGTATTTGATAGGATGAACAAGAATCGCCGATCCATTGCGGTGCTTTGTTGTTACACCGTAAAAAACACACACACACACACAAAGAAAATTAAATATATATATTTCAATATTTCAATCTACATACTTCTAGACATTTTCCAATTTTTTTTAGCTTACCCATTTCAGTGCCAATCAAGCCAGCTAATGGTCTTTTACACATAATGTAAGAAAGTTGGTTAATGAAGTATTAATGCAAGTTATCATAAATCATTATCTAATTTTATTGCATGTGATATAATATTTAATGACAGAAGTATGTCTATTTTGGTGTTAAATGTTCAAACTGTGGCTGTGGGGCTGATGGTGTTGCTAGGTGGTGACAGAGTCATAATAATCATGGCTAACCTAACATGAGATTATCCAGTATCCAAAAGTAGCACAGCTCAGGGTTTTGTTTCAAACACTAAGAATAAAGAGATTCAGAAAGCTTCCACTTCATTAGACCGATTTTTTTTTCAATTGACCTGTACAGAGATTTCAGTGTCACTAGGGATTATGTCTTCTCTTCATAAAGAGTCATTATTCATTCACAGTATGCATGATAATAAGTTGATATATAATAAGAAGATTGCACATGTAAGATCTTTTAATGAGCTGCTTGAGTCTGTGCTTCATGTTAATGTTAATTCACTAATAGGCATTGGAGCAGAGAAAGGCGCAGATGCTATTTTAGTCTAAACCTCAGGCACTGGCATGGTCTGTTACCCTGAGATTATCAACACAACCTCCTGACATTGCTTATGACATGCCATTAATGCAGTTGTAGCTCTACTGGAGGAGGAAAAATGTCAGCTGATTGCAAACATTAATGCCATTTTTCATGTACAGTAGATTGTTGTGTACTATTGTAATATTATTTAACAATAGCTTGAACAAAATGCCACAAAAGCCATTTCCTGCATATGTAGATCTGCAAGGCCATGTAGTTTTGGATTTGTAGGTTACTTGGCAAATTATTTTCTGGATTTCAGCATAAAATTTTAATTAAATAAAAAATGATACAAAATAGAATACATTTGTTTTATTTTTAATAGCAGATGGATACAGTGGATAGGAACAGTGTATAGATCACTACTCTTTGGAGTCGTAACTCTTTGACTCACTGTCATTTATAGGCATTGCTTCCTTAGTTATAAAGTACTGTGAACATAAGCATATGTGATTGTGCAGGAATGTTACTGCAGTAGTCTTTGGATTATACCGTATAATTCCCTTACAAAAGACTAGTGGAATTCTGTCAGGTGCCGACTATAACTGATCCCCTATAAGCTCCTTTATTGTGTATGCTTGTGTATCATTTTGTGTTTGTGTAAGTGTGTGCACATGTGTTTGTGTGAGAAAGGTGCAGCCAGCATAATTGGAGTACAATGGGAGGGTGTAGCACTGTTTGGCTGCCACCCGAGGGATCCCCAGATTTACGTGGAGATGATGTAGTGCTTCTGCCAGCCTCTCTCCCTTCCCCTAGCTGATGTCTCTCTCCAGGCGTCTGTGCACGCTCTAATCTCACAGCACCACCACTGGACTATATTCTCCTCTGTTTGCCCTGGTCCACGATTAACACACAGACAGTCAACGCCAAGAAATCATCAAAAAGTGCTTGTACTGTTCTAAAGCAAAATTATATAATGTCACCAGTAAAAGTCAAATTGGAAATTTGAATCTCAAATTTGAGAATCATAAAATCTCTATTTGAATAGAGTAGTTCAGTTTCACTTTTTTCTGTAATGCTAATGTTTTTGCTATTACTTTTAAATGTGAAGCATTTCAGTACATATTTTCCATTGTATTTTTAATTTAAATTTGTTTTTTTTACCACAGGTTGCATCCGATGATTTGACGGCAACAGCTCTGAATATAATTCACTATTATAGGCACGTTTTATTTTATTTTAAGTTTTTAGGTATAAAATAAAATAACTGTGAGTTGGAAATTACTTAAACACACAAAGGTGAATGACAGAAGCTTGAAATTCCATTATTGTAGGCTTACCATCATGATTCAGGGCGAGACAAAAAAATTTTGAGCACTTCATATTTTTATGCACTGGCCCAGAAATCCTTCATGAACATTCTAAACATTGCCTGTGTTTAATTACGTTATAAAATAAAAACTAAGTATTACAGGCACAATGGCATTAAAATTGCAAACTGAATTTATGAAATTTCGAAAACAATTAGTTGACATGATCAAAGGTCCCTTTTTTAATGATTTCAGAGAAAGAGACATCATGTAAAAAAATGCAGGAAAAAATGGATGGCTGCCTTCTGGGGCTAATCCTTGATTTGATCTTTAGTGGGACAGACAGAAGTGTTAGTGTCAGCACTGTTATAAGAATAAACACTATAGGCTCTCTGATGCCAGATTCAAGTAGCACTGCTGGCCTCGGGACAAGAGAGAGAAAGAGAGACACCAGTGGGATATGAAAATGTCTCATCATCCACCTCGGATCATTTAATTTTTTTAGGCTTCTGAGGCGAAGCCATGGCCAAATTGGACACAGAAACCCCAGAAATCCAATTTAACACACAGCTCACTTCCACTTGCCATTATTTGATGTTGGGGGATGGGGTCAGGAGAATAATCTTTAAAGAGGCTCTTGCAGCTTTTCTGTTCTATTTTTTTTTCTTAATTTGACTGTGTTTTGTCTGTTTGAAGACTGTAAATATAGGCCACGTTGTCATTCGTATGCATATTCTACCGTATGTGCCTGCCTCTTGAATAATTTAAAAAGGTTTTCCCCTGTGACGACCCACAGTCAAAACTGAGATACACTCTTATTCTCTTTCTGCCAACCTTGGTTTCTCTTTGATGGTCATCCAGACTTCTTTGTCTGTCTGAAGGCAGATAAGGGTTGAATAGTCAGTGTCTAGCTCTGATTTTTACTCTAAAAGCTTGTTTGGGTTATGGAATAAAGGGTGGAAAGTGAGGTCATGTATTGTGTCTCGTGTGTGGAAAAGTCCCCAAAAACCTTCCTCCTCATGTGGGAAGCACTGCTTCATTTCTTTACTGTCTGCAGTGCTGGGGTTAACTAACTACACGTTTTAAGTAATGTGACAGAAGCTTTTTTAAAGTATAGCAGTGTAGCTATTTTTTTCCGATTATTTGTGGTGTAGCGTGACAAAACTCTAGAGTATGTCACTATTTTTGTTGTGTTGTATTTACAGCTGGGAACTGAGTGAACTGGGAAAATAATCAAAATTATCCACTAAACTCACTATTTCATATGAAGCATTTGGAAACAGGATTCATTTTAGTGTATTTGTTGAATTAGGTCATTCATTTAAATAAACTGAATAGAAAAAAAGACTAATTTATGATGCTACATTTTGTTGAAATATTTAGTTAAACATTGCCATTAATCACTTTGTTGTCATGCACTATGTTACATAAATTATGGTTCGTTTTAACTCTATTGGTTGTTTTAGTATTCATGTACCTGTTTAAGGCAGTCATTTTTAGTGTTTTTTATTTTTTTTTGTGCCAGTAAATATTGCTGTAATTGCAAACAAAAAATAATACATTATTATATGGATATATGTCTATGATTTTATATACACAATTACACATACACTACTGTTCAAAAGTTTAGGGTCAGTATGATTTTTTTTATAGTAATACTTTAATTCAGGATGCATTAAACTGATCAAAAGTGACCGTAACAGTGACATTTAGACAAATTCTGTTCTTTCTATTCATCCTAGAATCCTGAAAAAAATGTATCACGGTTTACACAAAACATTAAGCAGTACACGATTTGTTTTCAACATTGCTAATAATTAGAAATGTTTCTTGAGCTCTAAATCAGCATGAGAAAAAAAATCTTACTGACCCCAAACTTTTGAATGATAGTGTAGATATGGTTGGTTTTGTTTATGATTGTTTTGTTTAAAATGTGTTACTCAGTACAACGTCTTTCCTGCTTCCATGAAACATGGAAGCTTAGATTTAGCCTCACCCGCCCACAAACAACACGGTCATACTCCTCTTTACTCCAGTGTGCGGTTTAAGTACAACTACATCTCTGAATCAGTGTGTAAAAACAAACACAAATACCCTTAATCAATAGTAGCCCTTTGCCAACTCTGAATATCGATTCACACCAACTTGTTTCTATTTTAAGACAACTCTAATGCAGCAGTCGTCTTTTCTTGCTTAATTTCTCCAGCACCGTTTCCTACAGCATCAGAGTGGAGTCTCATTCAGCTGGAGGGGGAGGGTTTATGTTTTGAGAGAGGCTCCACCCCTTGCACGCTGATTGGTCCGTTCTTCACTGTCAGACCGGGACTCACAGACAAGCTCAGCGGAGTGTCCTCGACATTACACAAGCACTCACACACTCCCAACACTCGCACACACTCCTCTGAGAGCTCAAGCCCAGTACTGGCTTATTTTTCTTTTGGAGATCGCATACAGGAAAACAGCACAGAAAGAACCGGGAAAGAAAAAACTTTCTTTTTTTTGGAGTCCTATTCAAGGAGAGCGTCTGAGTTAGCGTGAGTTGAGTGTTGGGTGAATGGGTTGTCATGGTGACTGACACTGGCAGGCTGACCCTAGAAGAAGACTGGATGTTGAATGGACAGAGAGCTGCAGTGGCCAGCCAGTGAAAGTAACAGGGAGTTATCGGAGAAAGGGAAGAAGGGAGGAAGAGAATGGAGGACGGCTTCTCCAGCTACAGCAGTCTCTATGACACCTCCTCACTGCTGCAGTTCTTCAACGGTAAACTCATCACATGTTTTCTGTCTTTAGTCTAAGAGCTTGTCCATCTTATGATCTACATCTCCTCATGTCCAGGTAAACATGTTGCCTTAGCTGGACGGTGGTAGCCTACCTCAGGTGCTGCAGTTAACCTTTATGACCTTTTTCAGTCCCTCAACTTTGACAAAGTTTTTAATTCCTCTTGGCTGGGATGGATCAATCTGAAACGAATGATAGTAGTTGACAGTTTTCTTACAGGCTTCTCGCTGATACAGTGGTGTGAAAAAGTGTTGGCCCCCTTCCTGATTTCTTAGAAACATTAAAGTGTGACAAACATGCAAAAAAATAAGAAATCAGGAAGGGGGCCAACACTTTTTCACACCACTGTATGCTCTCAAAGCAAGTGTTTCTAGAAGGAAATCTCTCAAATGTCATGTTATTCCGGTTCTTAAAGTGTTTAGGTACCTGAAGCATATTTGTCATTCCTGAGATAGATTGAAGGTGTTTGATGTTGTTTTCAGACAGACGTGTTCGTTTTGAACAAAACAATGCAGGGAAAAATATCTTACCCCTTATTACATCAGACCATTCTCCACTGAAAATGAAACGCAAGACCTTTCCGACAAGCTAAAGAATGAGGATGTCGGTTTTGATTTGTTGGGTCGTTGTCCTTTTTGAGGGTGTTTTTGTTGTTCTGCCATCCTGATTGCGATCTGTAGTCATGGGTTTGTATGCTGGCTGGTGCTTCAAGGCTTTTGGGTGAGGGCTGATGATAAAAGAGGAAAAGAAGAGAGGAGGATGAGGTGGTTAGTAAGGGATTTCCTTGTTCCAGGATGAATAAACGTGCGTGTCACAGTTCTGTCAAACACCATTCATCTCTTGCATTAAGGAACCTCATATGACATCACAGCACTAAAGAAAGCCTTCTGAAGTTCTCCCTGCTCTTTTGTACAATATGATGCTGTGCTTTTGCATGAGTTTCTACAGTACATGTTTTATTGAACTGTAGTTTAACCCTTTATTAGTGAGGGTTTATTTCAATCTACACTGAAAAAAATGTAGAAAAGGTTTTTGAACAGAAATTACTAGTACATTTCACAATTAATTACAAAGAAGTGACAAGTAACACATTAAAATAAACATAACAATTTGTAGTAGAAAGACTGAAATAGTATTTTCTTGTAAAACATATTCCAATAATCTTTGTTTTATTTATGACTCCAAAAAAATCATAGTGTTTACAGTGTACTCAAATTTTTTGTTTGCAAAAGTAAGTCTAGTCTTCTGTAAATCAACATTCTCTCTTATAATTCTGTTTGTTCTAGACATGCACAGTATATTCGTATCATATTATAATGTTATCATCAGTTAGAGATTTTATAATTTATCAGTGGATACAGTACACATATACTGAAATTGGAAATTTAATTGTGCATGCTTATGTTTAAAATAAATAATTTTTTATAATGAATTATTTTAATGTAATGTAATATTTTTCATATAACAACAGCAACAATAATATTTTAATTTATTTGATATTTATTATTAATATTAATACTATTGAATATTAATTTTATAATAATAATGTAATATTTAGCCAATCTTAAAATAATATCCATGTTTCATATTGTACATTTTAATATTTTGATGCCTAAATTCACTTTAAAATGCATTTAAAGCATTTAAAATGATTGTTTTCAGTTTTTTGTATTTTGTTTTTCACAAAATAGTATTTCATTTTAATACTGACCTTTTATCGGTTATCAGCCATAGCATGAACATAACTATCAGCTTATCAGTATCGACCAGAATTTTAATATTGGTGTATCCCTAGTTTGCTCACTCATTAATCTCCTTTAAAGTTCATATTGCGATTTGAAAATACAATATTAGAGTGATATTTGTTTCTGGGGTCATGTGACATAGCTGTATATCTACCGTGTGAGCACTTGGGTGGCTAATGAGTTCATCAGAGGTTACTGACTTGTGTTTACACTGAAGTTATGATATCATTGTGCGGTTGTGGTGACATCACAAAGCATTGTGTGATCTTCTCTTTCATCATCTTGGCAGACATGTAGCCTATAAGAAGCCTTCCATTGAGCATTTAAGAGCCCTTTAATCTGCTGAAGGCCTTATTCATCAGTTACACTTGTTCTAAACATCTTGTTTTACAAGTTCTTAAATGGAAAAAAGACAATCTCTTTTCTTTTCTGCATTCACTCTGTTCGGCTGAGTGAGTATGAGAGCTGCTGTGATGGCTGGCCTGTATTCTGGCATGTCAGGCCAGCATAGGACTGTGGGTAATTGAATGAGGGTGTGCTGGAGAGCGCTGCGGTGAGGTCATCCGGCAGTACAGTGCTCAGCCGAAGCTCTGGATCTGCTATGAAGTCATTTGTTCTTAAATGCTTCACGAGTTACTGATCAGCCAACCACACTAATGTAGGGATACTGGGTCAACAAACCAATTTCCTAGGCAGATTCTATAGGCCTTATACCTTCATTTAAAGTGTTGCCAACCTCAGACTCATCTGCTTGTAGTTTTCTTAAGAAAAGCTAGACTCTTAAAGTGATAGTTCAGCCAGAAATTAATATTATAAAGGCCTGAGGTTATTATTGCCTCCAGAATCCTTCAGAAAATAACCAATACGATGATGGTAATGTTGTGGCTGAATGAAAACAGTCATATAAAGGTCGACCTTAAAGGCTTAGCTCACTCAAAAAAATGGAAATTCATCATATGTTCACTATGTCATTCCAAACATGACTTACTTTCTTGAAACAAAAAATATAAAACATGATATCAAATAAAATATATTTTGAAAAATGTCTCCATAAGTCAGTGGGGTTCTGTATTGTTTTCGGTCCACTTTAGCTTTGTATCAACAAAAACTGTTGAAACATTCAAAATATCTTTGTTTGTGCTCCACAAAAGAAAGAAAGTCATACAGGTTTGGAACAACATGAAGGTGAATAAATTATGAATTTTAATTTTTGATTGAAGTAATCCTTTAAGACTGACCTTTAAATGATCTCATGTCCTTACTCAGATTAAGACATTTCATCAAACAAACAATAATAAAAAAAAAAATAATAAAACATATTTTGAAAAATATCTGTTCATACAATAAAAGTCAACGGAATCTAATATTGTTTTGGCCCCCTGCTTTCATTGTATTGACAAACACTGTGGAAACATTCAAAATATCTTCTTTTGTGCTCCAGGTTTGGAAAGACATGAGGATAAGTGACGTCAGGGATTTCATTTTTGAGTGATTGACCGTTACATGATTGTTTTCATTCAGCCAAAACGTGACCATCATCTTGGTTATTTCCTGAAGGATTCTGGAGAGAAAATAACCTCATGTCCTTACTCAAATTAAACATTGGCGGTGAGTTCTGGCAAAGGGAGTAATGGGTTATCTGGTGTTCTGGCATCTAAACGTCTACCAGACGTCTCAGTCTTTCTGAATGCTGTTGTCTCATTCAGTCTCAGCTGCCAGAGAAGTGTTCTTGGCACTCGGCTCTCACTTCTTATTGGCTGTCCTTTAAACCACTGATGGATGCATGTGCAACAGGATTAGGATTAAAGACCTGCTCACGTTACCGACCAAACCAGACAAGAAAACTGATAGTGAGTGAGAATGCTGTCACTTGAATTTGGAGGTAAATACTGATATACAGAATATAACTCTTCCAGGGCTGCTGATTTGTTCAAAGCTAGACATCAGTTTCATTTAGTATTATGGATCTTGTGCTGTTATTTATTGAGCTGACTGAGCTGTGCTCTCATAAAAAATTGCATACTGAGGGATAAATCTTGTCTACCCTTAAATGGGTGGTATTGACACGGCTGTTGTTTGCCTGTTATGTGGCAGACCCCAGATGACTTGCATTGGCTGTTTATCTGGCACTCTGTCGCATTACGTTACTGATAACAATTCTGAAACCATCATCTGCACTGGCCTTCTATCTGAGAAGACCGAAGCCATTAGTGCTACACGTTCTCTCTCTCTCTCTCTTTCTCTCCTTTTTCGTATTATGGATCTTGTGCTGTTATTTATTGAGCTGACTGAGCTGTGCTCTCATAAAAAATTGCATACTGAGGGATAAATCTTGTCTACCCTTAAATGGGTGGTATTGACACGGCTGTTGTTTGCCTGTTATGTGGCAGACCCCAGATGACTTGCATTGGCTGTTTATCTGGCACTCTGTCGCATTACGTTACTGATAACAATTCTGAAACCATCATCTGCACTGGCCTTCTGAGAAGACCGAAGCCATTAGTGCTACACGTTCTCTCTCTCTCTCTCTCTTTCTCTCCTTTTTCAAAATACTCTACCATTCAAAAGTTTGGGGTCAGTAAGATTTTTTTTTAATGGTGTACTCACCAAGGCTGCATTTATTTTATCAGGTATATAGTATAATTTAACAACGTCGTTTGCACTGCGCTCTTGCGTTACTTGATCTTTTTATTTTGGTGCGTCAATCTGTTGAGTTACTTAGTATAGGAAATTATGATCCGCACTCACGAGAACAATCTTCTTTTTTCTTTTATTTTACATTCATTACTGATGGGAAAAGGCACAAACGTTTTGGCTCAAAGCCTTCCTCAGTGTGTAAAGCAATTCAATCCCTCCACCCACTTTTCAAATCACTAATTATATTGACGTCATCATTCATTAGCCAATGTTCAATTACCACAATCATTAAATCATTTCCACTTAAACCCTGGACAATTTACATATATATATCCAACACAACACGTCACATCCACTAGTACACCTCACAATATACCCGTGACTAAAACAATAGTTGTTTAGGATCACATATTTATCACCATTATACAAACTTATAGTTTATCCTATCAATCATCAATATCTACTCCACCAGGTATATAGTAAAAACAGTAATATTGTAAAATTTTGTTACAATTTAAAATTAATTGTTTTAATATATTTTAAAGCGTAATTTCTTCCGTTATAAATTCTGTTACTCCAGTCTTCAGTGTCACATAATCC